TATTGGCTGATTGGAGCGTATCATTTCTACCAACTGTTGAAAAGTTCTCGAATATTGCGGTGTTTCTATTCATTCGGATGCGATTTTTTTTTTTTTTTTTTAAAAAAAAAAAAACAAATGAAAGCTTTTAAATGTCAATTTAGACTTACCATTTTTTGTAACATCTTGTCTTGGCGTGTTTTGGTTCTCGGATAACTCGGATGCGGGTGGTTTATTTGACTTCCATGCTAGATATTCGTTATAATCAAACTTTTGAACAACTCTAGTAAAAAAAATTTGGACTAGGTGAATCGAAATTTCTTTGTTCATTTGTCTAAAATAATTATATCAAAAACATTTAAAGTGTTTATTACTTTGAAAAATAAAACCATTTGGCCTTCTCTTTAAGTTTATCTAGTTCTTCCTGTGATTTATTTTGATGCGATACAAGAACTGACGGAAGTCCGGCCTTAATTAGACTACTACGTTAGATTATAAATTCTCATTGTAAAACAATTTGCATTTATCAACAATGATTTACCTGAAAATCTTCATCTTTATCGAAGTCGTATTGTTCAAATTTAACAAAAATTTGTTGATTGATATTTGCAGAAGTCATAATAAACTAGCGTTAGAGTCATTTTTTAAATGAATTATCAAAATCATTCACATCATTGCATATCCAATTGTACTACTTTATCACATGCTTAAACTGAAATGTTTATTTAAACGCTAGGGCCGCAGAAAATCTACGAACAGTTCTTTACTGACAGCATGGACACGTACTAACGGTTAGGGTAAGGGTGGCAGGAACACGGAAATTTCATATTGGAAGTTGGCCAAATTTGGTCGAAATTCCAATTCTGATAAATCATCGAAATGATTAAATACAAAACCTTAAGAGCTTATAGGGTCCAAAGAAACGACTTGATTAGACATTTCGCTGAACGATTTGGCTTGATATCATCAAGAGAACTTATGTTTCAACTAGGGATGTTATGTGGTCCAGTCTTAGACTAATAGACCACGGTTAGTCTTAAGACTGGTCTAAACTCGAAAAAAATTAGTCTGCCCTAAGTCTTAAGACCGGACCAGTCTGGACCGGTCTGGACTAACAAAGTCTTAAGAATAAAGACCATAATAGACCAGACTGGACCAGACCAGATTGTTAACATCCCTAGTTTCAACTTAGAACCGCATTAAGTACGAACAAACTTGTTTATATGTTTATTATAAATTTATTAATAATAATTTATATAGTCAATTTAAGATTTTATGTAAAATTTGTACATATAATAAAAGTTTAATAATATTAAACCAAACAAGACTTCGTATAATTAATCAGGGAGTGGTGAAATATCGGTGTATACTATTGGTCTAAAGACTCACCTGGCTTAGCATTCAGGTGCGATCTCGGATTTCTAACTTTCTAGAAACTTAGTTTTCTTGATTATAGACAAGTATCACTAAAACAACATAGCAAAAGCTAATAAAAACAATAACAAAAACATATAAACAATATTATTTATTATTATAAAGAATTTTAATTATACAGTAAACAATATATTAAATAGATAAAAGATACAAACCAACATATGGAAACTCCCATAGCAATAAGATGCAATAGGCCAAAAAACTTTTTTTCTAAACTCAATTTTTTGTAATTTTTATAAAATTACAAATTTAAAATTTTCAGCCCATTGTATCCTTTTGCTGTAAGGGTTTCTATATATAAAAGATCATTAGTTTTTAAATATAGTTAACCCTTTCTAAATGCAATTTATGCAAACTATATAGAAAATTTAAAAATCTTGTATTTAGGGAGGTATTGTATTTAGAGAGATAAAACTCTATAAGTATATATGTAATAGAAACACAGCAAGGTCATGTATTTATAGAGGTTTTTCATAAAACATGTATTTAGAAAGATTGCATTTATAGAGATCTAACTATAGTTCAAAAAAAACAGAACTTCAAAGATTTATATAAAATTATATTTAAAATATTGCACAATATGTACAATCTAGTCATAACAAATCAAAATTTTTAGTAGTCAAATTCAGATTTTATTTTTTATATATATGAAGAGGCCAATTAGAAAATTTAGCTAATATTTATATATTTTATAAATTAGAAGTAGATTACAAAAATAGTCTCAGCTAGCTAGGTCTATATACAAATTGCTAAACTACTATATTCTTGTTCAAATAAAGATTCTTTTGATCTGTCTGATTATCACAGTAAAACTATAGCCTAAGCTAAGAATTTTATATTAGAGTATGATCTAAAAACGACCCATCTAAGTGACAATTTTCTTTCTTCCAGAATCCTTAACTTATTGAGGATATGAACTCTGGATATCAATAGATAGAATTCATTGACCTTGTCAGAATCACCACTCTACAATAGAGTATTACCAATCTAATAATATTTTCTTATAAAGAAGTAAAAAAGAAAAAAAAAGAGTAAGGGTAAAATGAAAATAGGGAAAGTAAAAAAGAAAACATATAAAAAAATAACCAAAATATAAAGAAATTGAAAAAACTATTCTAACATCTAAGAGAACTTGTTACAGATATAAAAATCTGCTAATCAGATAAAAAACTATCTATATAGTTATAGAAGTTTATATATAGAGCTATCTGACAAAAAAAAACTATAAACTAAAATGCACTTTAATCTATATTAAGGGCTAAAAATTATATACATATAACTTCAGAATATTGTATATCTCTATTATATTGCACTAGTTTACAACTTTTATTTAATCTATCTCAAATTCTAGAATGCTGATTTCAAAGCCTCAACACATGATTATTAGTTCTGTTTATCTAGACCACTTTTTCTTAAAATCCTCTTATAATCTTCACTTCGAACCTTGTCTTTTCACTATATGAGATTAAACAGAGGGTCTTCTTTATAGTTAACCAGTATCATTAGAAGCTACTTTCTCAGATCTGTCATATAAAATATTTATTTTTGTATAGTCAACACCAATTTAAATACAAAACTTTCTATATACTTTGATTTAATCCAAACAGAACTTCCTTCTTATATATGTTGTTGTATTTCTTATTCATTATATTGTAATTCAAAACTTTCTAAAAATAAAAATATAAACAATACCTATTTTTTGGAGAGGGTAGCCAAATCTTTTACTTTTTATCAAAAATTGTAAAAAAAAGAACGGCAAAGAAAAAGTGTAGTTTTGCAAGTTTTTCAACCAAAAAGTGTTGTTCTAAAAGTTTTTCATAACCTTTTATTTTCAAATCGAGATCCCTAAATTTCACCATCATCCGATTTCATGATCATCTGCAACATTATTTATAGAGG